TGTAGAGTTTTCCATCTGGTGTGGGTGAGTGATAGTCTACTTTGATTTTGGTTAAGGTAGATTATCATTTACAGTGTAATCAGTGAGAGGATTTTGCAGACTGTTGAGGGTTCAGCCTCCTGATGAGTCGGTGAAACTCCGACGAAACAGTTTGTCACAGCCCCTCGTTTGTTGTCCTCTTCTCTCTCTCTGCCTACGGTTTTACCGGGCAGTTCTGTTTGTGATGATATATATATATATATATAGCCCCTCGTTTGTTGTCCTCTTCTCCCTCTCTGCCTATGGTTTACCGGGCAGCTCTGTTTGACTATATATACCACGACTTCGCTAGCACCTTGCTACGGTTTTCTCCGGTCAGGTCGAGCGGCAGTGGTCAGGGCCGTCACTACGTGGGCATGCCGTGCCTCTAGTGCCAGCGGCGCGCCTGTAGTGTAGTTTTTGGCTGTGACAGACCTTTCTTTGTTTCGTGGGTGTTTTGCTTGCTTGTGATGGGGTGTGAACCGGCAGTTTGTAGAGTCTTCCATCTGGTGTGGGTGAGTGATAGTCTGCCTTGATTTTCGTCACAGGTACCTTGAGGGCAGTGGTTGGTGCCCACCTCAGGGTATCAGTTGTCCGGCAGTCATTGATGCTTAACCACAGCCAGGGTTAAGGTGGATTATCACTTACAGTGTAATCAATTAGGGGATTCTGCAGACTGTTGAGGGTTCATCCTCCTCATGAGTCGGTGAAACTCCGACGAAACAGTTTGTCACAGCCCCTCGTTTGTTGTCCTCTTCTCTCTTCTCCCTCTCTGCCTACGGTTTACCGGGCAGCAGCTCGGTTTGACTACATACGTATATTACGGCAGGGACATTCTGTTTTCTGATTTCTTTAGAATATTGATATTTTTTTCAAAAAAATCCAAAGCGAGACAATATGTTGTACAACAGTGCAATACAAACAACTTTTGCCTGAGGTTCTTGGCGAAATTCCCAACCAACTTTGAGAAAACTACGGTGGTACCGTACTACCAGGTCCTGCAAAATGTGCCCTAAAACTTGTTGTACAAAGTACGTTACGGTACGTTGTATTCTAATACGTTGTTTTACCTCATTTTCATCGACTTTGACTATTCGCTACTCGCTATCAATTATCAAGAAATTTATATTTTCCTTTGTCTAATTAGCACTCAATTTTAGCATCCTTGGATTTAATCTGGAGATCTAAATGCCTCGTGTTTTTTTTTTCTCAAAGGGAGCCTAAATTCGGGGCAGATTAGAGTAGAGGTTTGCCAAAGGCATACTTTAGGCGGGAATTGGATGCCTTTGAAGGAACAGGTGGGATGGGGTCTGTCCCAAGTTGGCGCCAATGGAGAATGCCTGCAATCACGGCGTTTCTCTTCGGTGGAGGCACCGCTGGGACAAGGGGGATGGGGAAGGTGAGGGGGGGGAGGAGATTTCTTCAATCGTTTCCAAGTTTAACTTCTAGTGCTATGTACGGGACTGGGAGACAAACGGCTGTCTTTAAAGATCCAGGATAAGTGTGTATAGTTTCGAACTGATCACCAACACACTGTC